AAGCCATTGGCTCAAAAGCCTGTCGGCAAGGCAGCGAGGGGTGGCAATGATTTAGTTTTACAGAAATGGACGCCACCCCATTTTAAAGCACCAACCTGGAGGACCAGGAGACTGAGATTGTCTGACCCCTCACCATTGACCAACCCGGCGGGAGTAGCTCTCAAGCTGACCGGAGGCATCACCCAGCATAGCTCAATCGGTCAATGAGGTACGCAAACCGTCGCACCACGTGAAGGTCCAGTCTCGTTGCGACGCCGTTATACCAAACGCTACACTGGTTACGGAAAGTTGAACCCTCTCATTTCCGCTAACAACTGGTCAACCGAGCCCCAATTGAGTGCCGACAGCATGTGGTCAAGCTTTTGCCTTACCCTACGTGAACTCTGCTCCACTACGACGACCCGCCAACAAGTTTCCATAGGGAAGAGACGGCCAGAAATCATCCAAAGTCGTACACGGAAGTGGATTGCCTCCAAGGACATGGCATGGAGAAACTATCGCTCCCATCCAACGGCCACTTAGTGGGAATATCACCGATCCACCCGTAACCAATGCGTCCATCTTGTACGAGAAGATAAGAGTGAGCATCAGCGTCAGCTTATGCGTAAATTTTCATCCAATCCCAAAGCCTTGTATAGTCACGTCAATAGTCTTCGACAAGTCAAGCACGGTGTCATCGCACTGACGACCCCCACAGGGCTCACGAAATCAGCTAACGAGGCAGCAGAAGTCCTGTGCCAGCAGTACGCAGCCACATTCTCCGTTCCATCAATGCACACAACGACGGCACCTTCTTTGGTTTCACTCTCAACTTCCCTGACGACTGTTCATTTCACTCCGGAGAAGGTCCTGGCGAAACTCAAATCCCTGAGGCTAACGGCCTCTCCTGGCGCTGATGGTTTCCACCCACGGCTCTTGCGAGCGTGCGCTGCAGCTCTAGCTTTACCCCTAGTGGAACTGTTCACCCACTTCTTCTTGCAAGACAAAGTTCCCAATGATTGGAAATGTGGGACTATTACACCAATCTACAAAGGTGGTACTCGCATAGATCCGGCCAATTACCGACCGATAACTCTCCTATCTACGATCTCCAGTGATGGAATCGATCGTCGCAGACGCTTTAATGGACCACATGGAGGTCCAAAAACTACTCTCTGATTGCTAGCACGGTTTCCGGCGTCAACGGTCTTGCCTGAGTAACCTGCAACTTGCCAGGGACAGCTGGACGACGGCAGCCGACTATGGCCAAGAAACGCATGTTATCTTCCTGGATTTCGCCAAAGCCTTCAACAAGGTCGACCACAACATTCTGCTGCGGAAACTGTCATCTTACGGCGTTTCAGGGGACTTGATGGACTGGATCCGGAACTACCTCCAAAACCGTACCTTCCAAGTACGCGTCGACGGAGCGTTGTCTCGTCGCATCCTTGCCACAAGCAGAGTTCCACAGGGGTCTGTTCTCGGACCGCACCTCTTCCTAGCCTTCATTGACGACGTCACACCGCAAATGGAGTCTTCGATGCTACTATATGCGGATGACGCGAAGCTGTGGCGCACATTTAACCATCCGGACGATGCCCACGCACTTCAGACGGACCTCGACCGTCTACATCAGTGGTCCATAGGAAATAACCTTCCATTTAACGCTTCGAAATGTCACGTCCTTTCTACCCGCCCTTCCGCTTTTTCTCCTATACATTACCTGGGAGCGTCTATCCTCCAGATCTCTTCAGCCGAAAGAGACTTGGGTATCATTACCCAGACGAGTCTTTCCGTATCCGCTTTCTGCCGGAAAGCAGCAGCTGCTGCTAACCGCATGGTGGGATTGCTGAAACGAGCCTTCGGTCAAATTGACCCCAGCAATTTCCGCCTCCTCCTTAACGCTTTTCTTCGACCCACTTGGAGTTCGCTATTCATGCTTGGAGCCCTTGGTTGTTGGACCAACGCATACTCGAAGCCCCACAACGTCGAGCAACCAAACTGGTCCGAGGTCTCAAGCACCTAGATTATCCACCACGACTTCAGTGCCTGGGCCTCTACTCGCTTAAGTACCGACGTCTACGGGGCGACCTGATCCTCGTACTCATGATCTTATCCAACCCTGGACATCCCTGTCGCCACCTACTCACACTGCACCAATCGGGCTCCCACTTACGTGGCCACCCACTGAGGCTCACACATCAGCACAGTCGGCTGAACTGCAGACGACACCGCTTTGCGAATCTGCCGACTGTGGAATGCTCTGCCTGCCGATTTAGTCTTGGCACCCACTGTGGCAGACTTTAAGACCCGCTTGGACTGTCATCTGGCCGAGCTACACCGCGATATTCCCTAATTTAACTACATTCTACTGGATGGAATTTCTTTCTTTTTCTTCTACCTACTTCCTTTCCAAAGCCGTTTCGGAGGGCGTGGTGGGATGTCTCGCTTTGAGCCGGCGTGCATTCTGTTTGAATGCCACATAAGCCCGATGAAGATACGGCTAACACGCGAGTCCATCCCGCTATAAGGTTGCTTGGCCTTTCATTAGACCCGACCCGAACTCTTTTTACCCTATGGTTCATGTAAAGCTCGAGCTTTTATTCCCATTAAATACAATGTTCCAATATTCCTTATTTCATAGGTCGTCATGGTTGTATGCCATCGAATCATCAGTCCAAATGGATGCTTTTGTTCTACCTTCTGACCTTAGGACGTCAGGACATTCTGAAAGTCGCAGCGACAAAGAGACCTCTAGGTGCTTTAATCTCATTCTCAGGAGATATTTAGAACGTTGTTCGCTTCGCATGTCCGCCCGATTTTAGAATATGGTCTTCCGGTCGCTTACCCAAGACGAAATCTCAACATGATCTTTTAGAGAAAGTGCAGAGGCGCGGTTCAAAATCTATATCGGAGCTTCGCTACACTCTTCGACTTTGAATCTGTTCTCCATTTAATAACGCCGCCGGCGCGGAGAGCTCTATACAAAACGCATCCTAAGGGGAGTTTGGATATGAGCTGCAGCATGTGTGGGCAGCTCGATAAGTGGCCACAAATCCGAGGACACTTCGCGTCCGTCGACAAGCTGCCCTCTCCTCCAGAGCGGTAAATGATTGAAACAGTCTGTCGAAACACATCATTGACTCCCAGACACAGGAAGGTTTGAAGCTATAGCTAAACACCAATCTAACGCACATGACAAGGTCCTGCTAAACTTAGTTCAAAGGTGATGATCCCCCAACAGCAAGTGGCGGATAGGACGTTGCGGCCAGAACCTATTCTACTTGCGCACGACCCAAGGCTGGTCGTGCCGAAGCCCTCCAAGTAGTACTGTCCGTCTCTATAGCACTTTAGTACCTCCGCTGCTGGAGTACAACATACTTGTCCAGCCGCCGTACCTGAAGAAGGACGAGGCCATGCTGGAAACTGTACAGCGCAGAGCCACTAAGAGAGTGGACGGACTATCCCACTTCTCGTATGAGGAGGATCTGGCGGCCCTTAACCTCTTCCCGTTGAAATATCGCAGGCTTCGTGGCGGCCTTATCTTAGCTTATTCCGTCCTGACTAATAACAGGCACCCAAACGCAGGATTGCTGGTCCGCGCCCGTACAGATCATCTTCGAGGGCACTCACTCAAACTGATGACTCGTAGCAGTCGCCTTCTGTGCCGAAGAAACAGTTTCAGTGTGTGTATTGCCTTCGCTTGGAACGCCCTCCCTGAAGTTGTTGTCTCAGCGCCCAATACGGAGGCCTTCAAACAGCGCCTAGACGCTTGGCTCTTACCTCGCTGGTCTTCCACGTTGCTAAGATCTGGCCATTTGCCAAGCTAACACGCGGCGCTTCTATCATTTTGCCTCGATCCAACTTTGCCGAATTTACCTACACCACTCTCTTGTTCCAGGTATCCACATTCCCACAGTCAACTCGCTGAATTCTTGTGCTGAACACCACTACTGCGTCGAGACCCACAACATCTGGTACCTACCGACGAGATCAGGACCTTGCCGTAAGATCCCGAGGCAGAACCACCGAAAAGCTACGCTTACTCGTTAAGCGCAAACCCGTGAAACCCACCTTGTGATGACTCGGAACCGCAGGAGTTGACTAGGGATCTCCCTGCTGCTCTCAATATACAAATGTTATGTCTCAAAACCTTTGACCGCACGCGTACGTCACATAGTAGAAGACGGACAGCCAGCTATTCATCAGCTCTTTAACTTCGTATGCTCTTTGATAGAGAACGTCCAAAGACGTGCTTCGAAAGCTGTCTTCGTGCTTCGCGACCTTCCTTACCCGCTCCGAATTCAGCCCCATGGAATTACGCCGTCGCCGCAGCATTCTTCCCGACTCTAGACACATCCTTTCTGGTGAACTTGGGAACAAGCTACTGCAGTTATCCCACTCCAACGACGACTGATCGACACAAGGTCACAAATGAAAGCTGCTCAAACCACGAAGGCTCCAGGTCCGCTAAGACCTCACCCTGTCCACTCGGGTGGTGAATGAGTGGAGCAGTTGACGTACCATCGGAGTAATGTTGCAAGAGGCTTCTAGACGAACAAGCAATAAAGACACTGGGATCCCGTTCCATGCAGTGCAACTGCGACGAGTCATCGAGGAACGTATGAACACCATGACACGCAGCTATCCAACGATGAATAGGTATCGACGGACCTGACAATGACTCTCTTACTGCGACCTAGGAAGTGTTCCGATGGGTGTGGAAACGATACTAATCACAACAACCGGACTAAGTAAACCATGAATCTGAACACCGATGCAGACGCAAACCCGCTTACGGTGGTCCAGCGCAGAGGGAAGTTGATGACTAAACCGAACGACCGTAAAGCGCTAGCTAGAACTGAATTAAACCGTTCGGGGACAACCAACAACAAATAACGACCGCAGTTTCATCAAGACGCAACGAGAGTGACAACAAACCACGGCCTACGAAGAAGGAAAAAGTCAAACGATCAATGATGAACGGGTAAGTATTGTACAAAGGAGGTAAATGAACAACATTAATCTACTTCTTCCATCCCTGCATCATCACCCGCCTCGGTCGGAGGTGGAATCGCGGGTTCTGCTGACTCTGTTTTGCTCTCCTCGTCTGCAGGGATATCCAAGCACATGCTGATCAGCTGGTGAATACGGGCCGCATGGACCTTGGGATCCTCGAGCGTAAAACCTGATGAGAGGAGAGCTGTGCTGAATAGCAGAACAACAAGGTCTTTGGCAAGCTTGTTAGATCCTTCGCCTTCGAAAAGATTCTTCAGAGCTGCAATGATTTTATGCCGCGGGTTCAGTTCTAAATGCTTTTTGGCCGCCATGTACCCCATGGTGCTTGAATCGCGCAGAGCCTGGGCTTTCATGATGCGCTCCATGTTCGCAGACCATCCGAACTCGGATGTGACGATGCAACATGGTGAAGTAGTGAGTCTAGCAGAGACAACCACTTTCTCAACTCGCTTACCGAGGATGTCCTGGACCTGCTTGCACAAAGGTTCATAAGCAGCCTTAAGCTCCTCGAATTTCTTCTTTTCATCTTCGTCCTCAGGAAGTTGTAGACCTTCCTTGGTAACGCACACCAACTTCTTCCCATCGTACTCTTTCAGCTGAAGTACGGCGTACTCGTCAATGGGATCCAGCATATACAATACTTCAAATCCACGCTTGCACAGAGCCTCAATAAATGCAGAATTGGCCACCGCCTCCTTCGTTTCACCAGTGATGTAGTAGATGTCTTTCTGGTTCTCCTTCATTCGGGATACGTAGTCCTTGAGGCTCGTTGGCTCATCTGCGCTGTACGTAGAAGGATACCTGAGGAATTCGGCCAACTTCTTACGATTGACACCATCCTCGTGAATGCCGAGTTTAATATTTTTGGAGAATTGCTCGTAAAACTTCTTGTAGTTATCCTTGTCCTCCATTATCTCCTCGAAAAGCTCCAAGCACTTTTTCACAAGATTCTTGCGAATCACCTTGAGTATCTTATTCTGCTGCAACATCTCACGGCTGATGTTCAAGGGTAAATCCTCACTGTCGACAACGCCCTTAACGAAGTTTAGGTATTCCGGGATAAGGTCCTCACAATTATCCATGATAAATACACGGCGGACGTACAGCTTAATGTTATTACGCTTTCGCTTGTTTTCGAAAAGATCGAACGGAGCCCTCTTTGGTACAAACAGAAGTGCACGGAACTCTAGCTGACCCTCCACGGAGAAGTGCTTTACAGCAAGATGGTCTTCCCAGTCGTTGCTCAGTTGTTTGTAGAATTCACCATACTCTTCCTGTGTGATGTCATCTGGATTGCGCGTCCATAATGGCTTCGTCTTATTCAGCTCCTCTTCATCGATGTATTTCTCCTTTATCTTTTTCTTCTTTTTCTTATCCTTGCTATCTACCTCATTATCCTCATCTTCGTCCAAGTCTTCCACCTTAGGCTTATCATCCTCTTTATCAGCTTCCGCGACCTCTTCTTTCTCAGCTTCGTCGTCAGAGACTTCTTTGGTGCGCTCTTTCTCAAGCACCAACTTGATGGGGTAACCGATGAACTGCGAATGTTTCTTCACGATCTCCTTCAATCGTCTCTCTTCGAGGTATTCTGTCTGGTCTTCCTTAAAATGAAGGACTATTCTCGTGCCGCGACCAATGCTCTCGCCGACATCTTCACGTATTGTGAACGATCCCCCGGCAGATGACTCCCACACGTACTGCTCATCGTCATTGCTCTTCGAAATCACCTCGACACGATCAGCAACGAGATACGCCGAGTAGAAACCAACGCCAAACTGTCCGATCATTGAAATGTCCGCACCAGCTTGCAGTGCCTCCATGAACGCCTTAGTACCAGAGCGAGCGATCGTACCCAGGTTGTTGATAAGATCCGCTTTTGTCATTCCGATTCCTGTATCCTCAACCATCAGGGTGTTGTTCGACTTGTTCGGGGTAAGTTTGATGTGTAGATCTTTCCCAGTATCCAAGATAGAAGGGTCTGTCAGACTCTTATAACGCACCTTGTCCAGCGCATCACTCGCATTTGAAATCAATTCACGCAGGAATATCTCTTTGTTCGAGTAGAATGTGTTGATAATCAAGCTCATAAGCTGCGCGATCTCCGCCTGGAAAGCAAACGTCTCCCCAACAGGCTCCGTCACCATCGGTTCCGGCATCGTGAATCAAAGAAACAGAAACGCAGCAAAAACGCGAAGCAGCAACTGCGCTGCATTCACGCGGCACCGCTTATAAAGGTCACGTCGAACGTTCCGGAATTTGTGGTTGGAGCGCTAAATTTAGTAGCACGTTCGCCAATAGGCAATGAGAGAATGACCCAGATTTTTCTAGTTGCCTCTTTTGCTTACCATTGGTCGGTAATTGCACCAATGAATGCGAAATTTTCGGTTCGTCCTTGAGTCTGCCGCTCGCTCCATCGGTACTGCAATGTGTGCGCGAAATCCTTCCCCCTCTTCCAACCTTTCATTGGAGCGTTGGTTTGTTGGTTATCCAAATTTCTCTGATTTTTTCTTTTGCACTACTTGTCACGTGAAAGGTACTTAACTGATTTTTTTGGTATTTCAACGCGCACGTCTGCCGGATTTCCTAAGGATTTCCAATTTCAGTTGGGACCAGGACGATGGTTGGCCAGGGTGCGATATGGGTTTTCCGTTTTAGATCCATCAATAACTGAGCACTTCATCAATTCCTGGTTCAACGATCCACTCAAAGTGGAACACACGAGATTCTATCGTTCTAGTCCCATCCGAACTGAACTGATAATCCCGTGAATGTTTCTTCTTTTGCATATCGTTGGATCGGAACTTGATAGGTCTGCTTGAGATGTTGAAAAGCCTAAAACAGAGACCGCATCACAATCTGTCCAACTTATTAATGCATACATTTACCTCTCCAGCAGTCCCTGCTCCATATTGTCTGATTGCGTTACGTCAGCGGAACCCTCTTCTCCGTATTTTTGTCTCCGTGAGATCCTTGTCGTTATTATATTTTGGAACATTTTAATTTAGGTCTTGATGTTGCCCATGAAAATCGATGAACTAGGGTTTTCTCTGTTTCCGCGCGCAAAACCCTTAACCGTAGGTTAGGGAACCTAGGATTTTGCGCGCCAGCTCGATGCTCTTGGGTGGCAACAGCAAACTTTTCCTTTTTCCTAACTGACTCACCTTCACTTTTTATTTCTTTTTTAATGACTCAAATATCTTGGTATTCTACTTGCTTAACTCTTTCCACTTTCTCTTTTGCCTTCTGAGTTTACTTTTCTCTCTTTCTTACTTCACTTAACCGGCCCAGCAAGAACTGCTAGAGCAGGATACGTGGGCATTAATTGGTTGCACAGGGTGTGATGCGGTCTTTGTTTTAGCTCCATCAGTATTTCAAAGTTCGCCAACTCCTGGTTCAACCACCCGCCGAAGTAGGAACATTCACGGAATAATCCTATCGTTCCAGTCCCGCTTGGAGTTTCACTACTGTTACCTTTTACTCTTCACGTGGCCTGCACAGCGGGGACTGCTAGTGCAGGGCATATGAGCATTGTTTGGTTGACCATGTGAATCGTGTGTGTTGATTTGGCTCTCTTGTAGCACATCAGTGCACCGGTTTCCCTGTTGGATCAACGATGTTTTCGGAGGTAGAACATTCACGGGATTTTCCTACTGTTCCGGTCCCACTTTAACTGAACTTGCAGCGGGGCAAAACTGTCTATACCAGCGTTATTGCAAGCAGACTGGACCCGTGCGCAAACTATGACATTGCTTGGATACTTAGTGATGAGTATACTGGGGTCTTTGCTCGGGAGATCACTTTACCACAGGTTCAATTGGATTCAAGAATTCCAGAGGATTCTTTCCCGAGTTTAATCTAACGGAGTCTTCGAGTTACTACAAGGCAATAATCCATCTAAAGCTTACAGTCTTGACTCAATTCATCCGAAGCTGTTGCGTGAATTAGCAACTGGGCTGAGTGGTCTTCTCACATGCGTCTTTTCAATATCGCTTGACAGTTGCGTCCTATCTTCGGAATGGATGGAGACAATTGTCTGTCTTATTTTTAAGGGTGATGACAGCGCTATACCCGTAAACTACCGGCCTGTCAGTTTGACAAACGTAGTAGTCAAGTTGTTTGTACAGCTGCTGTGGGATTCAATGGAGAACCACCTGAATAGATTTAACATTCTCAGCGTTGCGCAACATGGATTCCGCAAGAGATTTTCGTGTCTGACGGATTTACTTCTAGCTCGTGAAAGCTAGGACGAAGCGGTAGACAGTGGCCACCCTATAGAGGTGCTATTTGTGGACTTTTCAAAAGCTTTTGAGACTGTTCCTCATCTTCGACTTTCATTAAAGTTGAGATGTTACGGTATATCTGGTCGCGTCCTTCAAAGTGTGTCCGCTTTCCTTGAGGGGAGGGATCAGTGCGTATGCCTGAGGGGTAGCCTTACGCTCAGACAAGCTGGCCTTAGTGGCGTTCTGCAGGGTTCAGCATTGGGGCCATTGTTGTTCGCGATCTATGTAAATGAGCTAGGTGTGTCCTCATTAATGTTTGCTGATGACCTTAAGCTCTTTAATATTGTGGATATCCCGGGGGTCCTGAGACAATTCAGGTTGTGGATAGGCTGAATGGTCTACCTTATGGTTGATACCCGTACATAGGTCCAATACTCGGTTCTCTGAATCGGAGCTGCTAACCCTCCCACCCGATTTGTTGTCGGCTGGGGTGATTACTGGTTGGAAGCAACAAGTGTAGAAGTCTGGAGATTCCCCGGTTTGCCCTTGTAAAATTCTAACAAATTTCATTGTACACCTAGACGACCGGTATGGTTTGTTGAACTGATTGCTGAGTTCGGATGCTCGACTTCAGTTCAGTTCAGTTCAGTTCAGATGGGGACTGGAACGATAGGAAAATCCCGTGAGTGTTCCATCTTGAGTGGATCGTTGAGCCAGGAATTGATGAAGTGCTCAGTTATTGATGGATCTAAAACGGAAACACCCGTATCGCACCCTGGCCAACCAGTTAATGCCCACGTTTCCTGCCCTAGCAGTCCCTGCTGTGGCAGTCACGTGAAGTAAGCAAAGGATAGGAAGAGAAATCGAAGGTACAGAATAGGGAAGTGCACTTAAATAAGAAAATAATACCAATACGTGAAGAAAAGTAGAGAAAAGAAAATCGAAGCACGAAGATGTGAGTTACTCAGGAAAATGGAAAGGTTTCGTGTTGCCACCCAAGAGCGTCAAGTTGCCGCTCAAACCCCTTAACCGTGGATTCCCTGATAACACTTTCCGGAAGCATGTTCCAGCGGTCGATAACTCGGCGTGACAGCCGGATTTCCGCCCTAATCCGATCGGACCGCGGTTTGTCCAGCTTCAACGAATGACCGCGTAGAACAGACAATCTAGCGGGACTGAATAGCCAAGACAAATCTGGACCAACCTTCCCAGTCAAGATACGGTAGGTTAGGATTAGGTCTCCTCTAAGCCTTCGGTAGTGCATTGAATGCATTCCCAAACTAAGTAGACGCTCGGGGTACGTCCGTCCCCGTAATCCCTCGACTAACCTAGTACCCACTCGTAAAACCCTCTCTAGCTCCATTTTGTCCCGGACGAGGCAGGGCGGACAAGCCTGGACGCAGTATTCCAGATGAGGGCGAACGAAAGCCGAGAACAGCCTCGTAAAGATGCCGCCCGTCAAGACTCCGAAAGAACGTCGGATTAACCACAACATGCGTAAACCTCTGCTTGCGGCCTTCTTCCAGTTGTCGCCGGAGTGTAACGCCGAAGAGTGTACGACGCCTAGGTCAACCTGGCTAGATACACGGGGGAGTTCGACCCCACCGACCAAGTACTTCGCAGGAGGACAACCTCCTCCAATTCGAAGAACGGAGCACTTTGCCTGATTTATGGGCAGTAACCATAAAGTAGACCAGTCCCAAAGCTTATCCAATGCTCGCTGAATAGCTTCGGAACCCCCAGGAACATCAACAATGTTCCACAGCTTCAGGTCATCAGCAAATAGCAGCGATGGTACCTCAAGCTCCGTGGGTAGGTCGTTCACATAGATAGAGAACAACAGCGGTCCAAGGACCGAGCCCTGCGGCACGCCGCTGAGGACAGACTGCCTAAATGACAGACCCCGGCCTACCCGTACACATTGTTCTCTACCCTCCAAGAAGGCAGTCACCCAATGAAGGGCGCGGCCAGATACCCCGTAGGAGGACAGCTTTTGCGCGAGCCTCAAATGGGGTACCTTGTCAAATGCCTTCGAAAAGTCGACGAAAAGCACGTCCAGCGTGTGGCCGTTATCCACTGCATCCGCCCAATTTTCGCGAGCCACCAACAGATTCGTCAGACACGAAAATCCCTTCCGGAATCCGTGTTGTACATTGCTAAGTAGATTAAATCTACTCAGATGACTCTCTAATGAATCTCTCACCAGTTTCTCGAGGAGTTTGACTACTACACTCGTCAGACTAACTGGCCTGTAATTTGCAGGCAGACCCCTGTCCCCATGTTTGAAGATGGGACAGATGACAGCTTCCTTCCATTCGGAAGGCAATGCACAACTGTCAAGCGATTTCTGAAACACAATAGCGAGCGGTCCACTTAGTTCCGCAGCCAACTCATGCAACAGTTTCGGGTGAATTAAATCAGGCCCAGAGGCCTTAGAAGGGTTCAGCCCTTGTAACAGCCTACGAACTGCAGTCTCCGCTACAATAAATTCAGATAGTTCTGAACCCTCTGGAGTCCTGCAAACCAGCTCAACGCCTGTCAAAGAGGTTTCCCTTACAAACGCTGCCGCATATTGCCCACTGAGTACGCAGGCCTTGTCATAATCCGTATGCGCATGAGTACCGTCATCACGCATCAATACTGGAATTGACATTTTCGAACCGCAGCGTCTTTTGACATAAGCGAAGAATCTTTTTGGATTCTCTGAAGCTTCGTCCGCTAACCCTTTTTCAAAATTGAGCCGAGCATCCCTTAGGTGTTGCTTACACCTATTTCTAGCTTTACGGTACCTGTCATAAGTATCGGTAGACGGAGCGTCTCGGTAAGTCCGCCAACATCTAGATCTCTTTGTGAGCAGATGCCTGCCAGTGGGATCTATCCAGGGCGGCTGTGCTCGGGCCTCCTTTCTCCTTGTGACTGGTATGAAGGGAGCAGAG